GGCTGAGGAATTCTGGGAGTTGAAGTCCATGTCAAGTTGCCACGGTTGATCTCCTCTGTTCTAGCAACGTCAAAACACTGTCCCGCTAGCCTAAAAAATTATGTTGGGAATTATTTATTGTGGGGTGAGGTCTCATTCCCTTCACCCTTGGGAACCCTGCCTAGTGGTTAGTCCTCTTACCAAGCAGAGCCGTTCTTTTCCCTTTGAGCCTTTCAGAATTCCTCCCTCGGGCACCATTGCTTCATCCTGACCAGCAATCCCGTTGCGGTTATTTAAATACGTTTCGCAACGATGCGGCACACATATATAAATATTCACCCACCCCCAGCATTCAGCAGTTGCAAAACCAGATTGGCACGATGAGAAATTGGAGGAGAAGCAATTGTTGGCAGCCAACTTGAAACCAGGAATGCCAGATTGGCAGGAAGCGTGTTTTTTGTTTTAAATAAAAAAAATTATGTTTTATATACCGCACAATCAATCCATTCCATTTCAACCGTGTGTCAGTTAGGTTCATATTTCATGTCCTTACAGTTTACAATTAATACTCTCCTTATCAATATACTAATATAACAATAATCCGTTTTCTTTTTAAATTTAAAAATACTTTATTAAATATATTTATATACATACAATAAAATCAAAATATTCCATTTGTCGCAACGTAGGCAAATGCAATGTTCACTCTAACTGACAGCTCTCTCACTGTATCAAATGTTCATTCACTTATTTAGATATAATACAGAATTTCATTCTAATTATCACAAATTTACATATAATATTATCAATTTCTATCGTATCCTTTTATTTGACTTTTTATTCCTTTCTTGTCTATCTTCCAGCCAACTATACCATAAGTTCCAAATCTCATAGTATTCTGACTCCTCTTGTTTTCTGAGTTCCACTGATAGCCTGTCCGTTTCTGTACATTCCAAGGTTTTCTTTAGGATCATGAATTCGGGGGTTTTCGCATTTCCAATTTTGAGCAAAAGCGAGCCTTGCTGCCATTAATATATGGAGTATTGTGTATAATAATTTTTTGCTCATTTTCTGTTTTAGGATTCCTAATAGAAATATCTCCGGTTTCAACTCAATTTTAACTTTTGTGATTTCTTCTAACCGATTTTTAATTTTCCTCCAGTATGCTTTTTTGCTTTTGAGCAAGTCCACCGCATATGATAATCACGTTTTCATGTAGTTAATATCCAGTGTATCCATTTTTACAAATCTTCTCTTATCGCTATTCTATATTCATCTTATCCATTTTAATTCATTTTTATTTTCTAACCATTGCTAAAATAAATCCCATACCATGTTATGTTCAGAGTCTTCTTTTTTCTTTAATTTCCAATGTTAAATCTATTCATTTCTGCACGTTCAAATATTTTTTTCAATTACTTTTGTAAAAGGGGAGCTTGTTTGTCGTAGCAGCCGGGTATCCAAAATTTCTGAAGCGTTCTCGACTTCGGGACACCAAGTAACAAAACAGGACATTATGCAAAAAAACCCACTCCATTTTGGGGATATTTCCATCCATACAGGCCATCCTCGACTTACAGCGTGACCATTTAGTGACAGTTCCAAGTTGCAACGGCTCTGGAAAAAAAAGGTGACTTGACCGTTTTTTCACACTTTACGACCATTTTTCACACTTATGCCCGTCACAGCACCCTGGGGTCACGTCATGTAATCCCTTTTGCCTCCTGACAAGAGAAGTCCACGGGGAAGCCAAGTCACTGAACAACTTAACTGCAGTGATTCACTCCACCCCGATGGCAAGAAAGTTCATAAAACGAGGCCAATGCACACTTAACAAACTGCCTCACTTAGCAATATAAATTTTGGGCTCAATGCTGGTCGTAGGTCGAGGACTCCCTGGCGTTCAAGGGGAAAAAATAAATAAAACCGCCGCCCTGAAAATCATAAAAATCATTCGATCAGGCAGACCAAATATAAGCAGCCCTCGACTTATAACCGTTTGTTTAGTGACCTGTGATGACCCGGCGCGTGACACAAAAATTACAAAGTTACAAAAGTAGAATAAATTCCTTTTAATGCCTCTAACTTGGCACCCCATGTCCAATTACCCTTGGCTGGAGATCAAACTCTTCCAAAAACAGTCTACGAAGGGCAGAAACGCAGTCCGAACCCAAAGTAAAGATAATTAGAAATAAAAAAAAAAACCAACACAAACCACGCTGAAGTAATTAACACAGCAGGCTAGGATGATAAATTGCAGACTTTCATCGGATGCAGCACCCACAGCTGGGAGGACGCCAAAACCCAGATGAGCCTCAACAAAGATAATGCACGCTTTCCTTCCAGCAACTCTGCCATGCGCAGTTTGCCCTTTTAAGCATTCTTCCCAGCTGCAGCCCATGAAGGGGATCAGGGCCCTTTCCTTCCCCGTAAACCATGTTGCTCCCTTCTCCATTCCTCCCTGAGTGCCCTAGGTGAAGAGAGGGTCGGGCCTGGGTCTTCCTCTGAATGCCCAGCTGGGCGGTGCCCTTCCCCAGTTTCCTCCACAGTCCCCGGAGCCACGCTCCCACTCCCTGTCAGCTGCTCGACCTCCCCCTCGGAGTCGGACTCCAACAAGGGCATGACAGTGACATTTCTCTGTTACAGTGGCACTGAAAAATGTGACTTACGACCATCTTTCACAGTTACGACTTTCGCACCGTCCCCACGGTCAAACTTCAGACGCTTGGCAACCGACTCCTATTTATGACCATTGCTATGTCCTGGGGTCACACGATCCCCTTTTGCGACCTTCTGACAAGCAATGGGGGGGCCCCCTGCCAGATTCACTTAACAACTGGGTGCAACTGCAGCGATTCACTTAATAACGGCGGGAAGAAAAGGTACAATGTGGCAAAATTCACTTAAATTCTCACTTAGCAACAAGACATTTCGGGCTCTGTTTTGGTCGTAAGTCGAGGACTGCCTGTACCGCTTAAGTAATTTTCATTCCCACGGATGAAGTGTCCTGCAGTCAAGTGGTTCCCGCGGGGTTTTTCTCACCGCCTACGACCCTTCTTTTTTAGGAAGAACCGGACGAAGGCTACGAGAAGTGGCGCGTGGAGAATTCCTGGGGTGAAGACCGTGGGAATAAAGGTATGGGGTCCTTTGTGAAGGGGAGGGGGAAGGGGGGCTTTCAAGGTTGAGCCAAGGGGAGGGTAACTCCTCTTTCTCCCTCCACTCCCCCCAAATTAACTGCAAGAAGGGGTGTGTATGTGTGTTTGGATCTATCTATCTATCATCCAGCCAGCCAGCCAGCCAGCCATTGATTCTACTTTCTGTCTGTCTGTCAACTATATCTATCTATCTATCTATCTATCTATCTATCTATCTATCTATCTATCATCTATCATCTTTGTGTCTCTATTTATCCATCCATCTATCTGTCTGTCTGTCTGTCTGTCTGTCAGCCAGCCAGCCAGCCATTGATTCTACTTTCTGTCTGTCTGTCTGTCTGTCATCTATCTCTATCTCTATTTATCTTTCACCTATCTATATCTGTCTGCCTAGCTCTATCTATCTATCTTCATCCATCCATCCATTGATTCTACCATCTGTCTGTCTCTCTGTCTGTCATCTATCATCCATCCATCCATTAATTTTACAGTCTGGCTCTCTACCTATCTATCCATCCATCTATTGATTCTACCGTCTCTCTGTCATCTATCTATCTATCTATCTATCTATCTATCTATCTATCTATCTATCATCTGTCTATCATCTGTCTGTCTGTCATCTATCATCCATCCATTAATTCTACCATCTGGCTGTCTATCATCTCTATCTATCATCCATCCATCCATCCATCTGCCAACTGTCTGTCTGTGTCTGTCTACGGTGTCTGTCTGCCTGTCTATATCTATCTATCTATCTATCTATCTATCTACCTACCTACCTACCTACCTATCTATCTATCTATCTATCTATCTAATCTGTCTGTCTATCTAATCTGTCTGTCTATCTAATCTGTCTGTCTATAGATGACCTACAAGATCCCTTCCAACTGTATTGTTCTATTCTAGTTCAAGTTCTTTTTGCTTCTATTCTTTCAAATTCAATTCTATTCCGTTCTATTTTATTCCCTATTCTCTCCTCTCCTCTCCTCGTCCTTCATAGGGGGCCATTTCAAGCTTTCAGGATTTAAACAGCAAAGCCCCTTTGGTTACAGACAGTCCTCAACTTACAACCATTTGTTTAGTGACTGTTCAAAGTTACAACGGCACTGAAAAAAGGGATTTACGACTGTTTTTTCACATTCAGTCACCATTGCAGTTTCTCCACAAGGATCCACATTCAGGCGCTTGGCCACTGACTCCTATTTACGACGGTCTCAATGTCCGGGGGGGCGTCACGTGATCCCCTTTTGTGACCTTCCGACCAGGGGAAGCAGGATTCACTTAACAACCGTGTGTGACTCCATGATTCCCTTCACCACAGGGGCAGGAAAGGTCGTAAAAAAAACGGGGCAAAACTCACTTGTCTCGCTTAGCGAGATAAATTTTGGGCTCCGTGGTGGTCGTAAGTCGAGGACTACCTGTAGCGAGCTCAGTTTGGAAGCCGAGTCTGGCAGGGATTCAGAGACACTGAGGTCAAACCTCAGTCTAAGACTTTGCCTAAAACAACAGACTAAACCAGGGTGGGAAGAGGCGGAGGGCGAGAAGCGAGGGAGGAAACGGTTGTCCTTTCTTGGGGTCTCGCCCCACCTATCCTGCCAAGCCTCCCCCACCTTTCCCAAGCGGGGGCGAGGGGGGAGGGGCTCCCTCTGGCCGCCCTGACTTCTGCCCCCACCCCAGAGGGCATTGTTCACATTGCGGAGGCACTTCCTCTGATAGGCAGGAATTTCCTTGGCCCCAAAGGTTATCAAATCTGCTTTTTCTTGGGTTTGGTTTCCAAAAATACTCGCTGAAATCTCTGTGTTCCCTGTACATTTTGTCCTGTTTAGGGTTTTTTTTTTTCCTTTTTCCTTTTTTTCCTCCAAGCGAGAGAAAGTTGCAAATTTGCAAAGATTTTGCATCATGGGACGAAATCCTTAGTTTTCTCTTGCGGCTCGTCGGCACGTCTTGAAATAGCCCAGTTTCCCCGAAAATAAGATCCTAACCGAAAAATAAACCCTAGCATGGTGTTTTTTTTTCAGGATGCTCGTAATATAAGTCCTACCCCCCCAAAAAATAAGCCCCAGTTAAGATTCTCAGTCAGACAGGCGCAGTGAGGGCCAGTATTTTCCCCGAAAATAAGACCTATTTTTCCTTTTGGAGGAAAAAAATAATATAAGATCCGATCTTGTAACGCTATTCTGGCCAGTTTGACGCAAATCAAAGACAGCTCAAAAACTCTTAAATTCAGTTATTTGGTTCTGGATGCTGAAAAATTTGGATTTTAAGCCCTGTGGCTGTGGGGTCAGTAGGAAAACAATGTATGGATGGGTCTGTTTGTTCTGACTAGCTGATCTGTTCAATTAAAAATAATAATAATACAATGCTTTTAGTTAGCTTGGGGTGGGGTGGGAATCAAAATTATTCAGGAAGCGGGTTTTCCTATAAAGTAGCGTTTCTCAACCTTATCCCCTTTAAGAGGGGAGGACTTCCACTCCCAGAATTCCCCATTAATCGTTCTTTAAGACAGATGGACTTCCATTCCCAGAATACCTCAGCCAGGCCTGGTTCTTTGGGGTGATCCAGTGTGTCTCTGTTTAAACCAATGTTTCTCACTTGAATAGAACGGAAGGGAATGGGAATAGAATTAAGAATAGAATAGAATGTAGAGCAAAACAGAACAGAATAGAATTCTTTTTATTGGCCAAGGATGATTGGACACACAAGGA